AGACTGCATGTGAATGCTTGGCTTCGGTGACGTGGAGTCACCTGCAGCCCCACAGCTCCTGGTGGTGTGAGGAACAGCATCCAGTGTGGGGGTTTAGGCTTTATTTAATTTTATTTAATTTGATGCCACAATTATCACAAGTTCCTGGCTACCCTCTGTCAGATGAAGTGGTCTGGACAAGGGGTGTTGTGTCAACATCAGTTGTCCCTCACCCAAATTGAAGGGTCCCTGCTCTGTAACTCCTCCTCCAGATCCCTTCTCTGTCTCAGACCAAGTTCTCCAAACCTTTCCCTGTTCCAGTGCACCCCTGTTTGAGGTTGGGAGGGAGGCTGACACGGGCCTGGATCTCCAAGCATCAGGAAACCATGGAATTATCCAATCTGCTGAGCTGGAAGGGACCCATCAGGCTCATCAGGTCCAGCTCCTGGCCCTGCACAGGACTCCCCAGATCCCTCCGTGTGGGAGAGTGTTGGGTGTCAGTGAAGCTGCAGAGCAGTGCTGGGCTCAGGGAGTGCTCCAGAACATCACCTGGGGGGAGCTGAGGGCTGCTCTAGTCTGGTGGAAGGAGCACCATTTTCACAGTGGGACACGAGGAGAGAGATCTGTTGGGTGTCTGTGCTCTGGGTCTCTACATCTGAGATAATTAATCAGCTTGCCTTGCTCGATAATGAGTTTTTAATGTTCAACAAGTGCTTAATTAAGCACAGCCTTGTATAGAAATATCATCTCAGACCTGCTGGGTAGTCGTGATGGGGAACAGAACAGCAGTTCTGCCCTGTGGGCAGACAATGCCAGTGGCACCCTGATCCTGAGGACGTGGGGATCTCTGTCCTGGATGTGGCTGTGTGGACTAATTTACAGCTTACACCAGTGGGGTGGGGTTTGTAAAGCTCCCCAAAGGAGGATTTTTCCCAAAGCATGTGGTTGGAGTATCAGAAATTCCTGTGCAGCCAAACTCCTGCACGTTGAAGCAGCGATTGGGAAGGTTTCTTTGCTTTCCACGGATCCCTCAAAACACCTGTTCTCCAAAATCTCACAGCATGCCTCACAAAGGGCCTCTTTTTTGGGACTCAAATAAAGTCAGGTGGCAACTGAAATCCATTTAAGAGGTCCTTGAAATGCCACATATAAACCCCCACATAAGCTGTAGGTGTGAAATAACTACTGGGACAGAGACTTGTCCAAAAGGCAACAGGACAGGGAACAGGGCAAGGAGCAGCTGCCTCAGAAACCACCTGGTTTAGAAGAAACATGGCCATTGTTCCTTGGGAAACATCCCCCAAACTGCTTTCAAAACAGCACAGATCAAATCAGCTCTGAAAGGAAGTGATTTAACTGGAGAGACACCTACAATGCCAAGCCCTGGAGTGTGACCCCAGGAACTGGGGTAAAACAACATGCCAGGACAGAAGACAACTGTTCCTCCTTTCTCCAGGCTTTTCTAGGATTCACTGGCTTGTGAACCCCATGGCAAAGCCTGAGCCTTGGCCTTGCACTGAGCAGTGGAACAAATGCAGCAGGGAGAACAGTGTTCTCACCCACCCAGGGGGAGCCTCTCAGGTGCTCCTGGTACCTTCCTCCTGTCACCAGTTTTCCCTTCTCCTGATGTGTTATGTCCTTCTCCTCCAAAAGTCCCCAACACACCTGAGCCTCAGCCCTGCCTCTTTTCCATTCCTGCTGTCGGCACAAACTCTTGAGCCAAGCACTAAACCACCCACCTTCCTGCTCCTGGACGTGCTCCTTGCCCACCTCCTCCACCAGCTTGTCCTCCTCCAGTGTCTCTCTCTCCTGACACCTTCTCTGCCCCAGACACCAACCCACCCTTCCCTTTCTCCTCCCTCTGACCCAGCTCCTCACTGCCCAACCTGAGGTTTGTTGCATTTTCCCCAAGATCTTCTCCACAAGAGCCCTCCTTTTGCAACCTCCTCTCCCCACACTTGGCTCCCTCACACCTCGGGACCAAGGCAGGAGTCACAGGGAAAGGCCCTGCCACAGTGGTTGCCTGAAGGGTCAAGAAGGAAGATGAGCACTCCCATTGTCCCACGGTGTCCCTTTGACACCTCCTGCTGAAGATTCATCTCTAGTTGTCCTGTTGGCTTGGGATGAGCAAAGCAAGAGGTACAGCAGGGATTGTCCTTCCTTAGCCAACCTCTGCCCTGGAGCTCCCACCCCCTCCCCAGCCACTCACACACCGTTTGAAGTTCCCTCCTTCCCACCAGCCAGAAGGGAGGACGTGTCCTGCCAGGCACCACTCTGCCAACAGAAACAGGCACTGCCAAAGCTGTGAAAATCTGGCTGTGGTTGTGGCTTCCAAAGACCCTTCCTCGCATCAGAGACACTTCCCAGGAGGCAGCAGAGAGGTGTTGATGGCTTCTTCCCCCCACTGCTGACCTGCCTCCCTTGGCAGCCCTCAGTGAGCTGGTCTTTCCTTGGAATTCTCTCTCTGGGACTGAAAGGTTGGTGCATCAGCACATAATCGACCTCTGTGGGTGTTTCATCACTTGGATCCTGGCCAGTCCCCTTCACCCTTCCTCAGCAGGTCCCTGTGGGATTGCCCAATCCAATGGGATCTGCTTCATCCTGGAAGTGTCCAAGGCCAGGTTGGACAGGGCTTGGAGCAACCTGGGCCAGTGGAAGGTGTCCCTGCCCATGGCTTGAACTTGGTGGTCTTTAAGGTCCCTTCCCAGCCAAACCATTCTGGGTTTCTATGAAAAACACCATCAAAAGCCTTTCTTCTGCAAGGAGCCCTGAACAGGGGGAACAAAATCAGCAAATCTCTGTCTCACCTCATGAGCCAAGAGCAGGAGAGGAGAAAAGCTTTTGGGAGGGGCAGGGAAAATGGAACTTTGCTCCTCCTTGAATATTTGGGCAAAAAGGCTGAGGCAGAGCAGGTTTAGAGGGAAGATCAAGAGGAGTCATCAGGGTCCAGGGACAGTGAGGAGCACTGGGTGTTGGGGAGCTCTGAAAGGGCTGAAGACAGCTGTGTTTCCCTTCATGGTATGTGAGACTCTCATCTTCCCCCCTTCATGAATCCAGACTTTTCTGACATGCAGCCACACACCTTCCTCTGCTTCCCTTCCCAAAAAACAACCCTGTTCAACCTCCTGTGTCACTGTGGCTGCAGGGGCACAGCCCAGCTCAGAGCAGGGGAGGAGAGCGGGGCTTTCTCTGCCTGCTGTTGTGGGACTGGTGTGAGATGGGGACTGTCCATGTTTTAATCTCTCTCCTAAACCCCCCAGTCCTTGCAGCCCGTGTCTGTCAGGCAGGGGAGGGGTTACAGGGGAAGTGCCACGAGGAGCCCCCGTGCAGGGAACAAACTGGAGGAGCCCCAGAACAGATTGGAGAACAACACTGGTCCCAGTAGCAGAGAACAGGGCTTTACCCTCCCTGTCCTGAGGCATTTGAGGGTCCTGCTGCAGCGATGGGACCAATCCCAGGCTCAGCTGGGGTTCTTTGTCACCAGGAAGGACTGGATTTCACCGCCTCACACACACCTTTGTGCTGTTTGCAAAGCACCTTCCAGGTTCACGAGGTTTGGAGGAGGGTGGGACATCCAGGAGGGGCCCCCCAGCTCGGCACAGCTGCCCTGGTATTGCCTGGGGGGGCTGGTCTGTCTGCCTGCCCAGAGCCCTTCTCCTTGTGTGGCTCCACAGCTCCGGGATTTTGTGGGAGTGTTTGCAGGGCACTGGGGTTGTACCTTCCTAACATTTGCTGCAAAGTCTTGGATTGGCTTCTGGAAGTTTTGCTGTGGAGTTCCTGCATGAAAGTTTTGTCTCCTGGCACTTGGGAGGGTCAGGCTGGATGTGAAACCCTTCCCCTGGAGGGAAGTGTATCTGTAGGATAAGGGAGGCCTGGGGATGGGCATCCGTGGAGTTCTGCAGGATTTGGACACACAAAGTCACAGCCACCCTTCTCCAGACTGGGCACAGCCTGTCTTGGGGCAGGAGGTTGATCCAGAGACCTCCTAAGGGTCCTTCCCACCAGCACTTCTGTGAGGTGTCTCTTGTGCATCACCTTTGGTGAGATGTGTCTGTCCATACTCTGGGACGAGTGTTGGGATCCTCCTGCTCCATCCAGGAACATCAGAGCAGGCAGCCCAGGCAGCGGGAGGGATGTGCTGGGAGGGTTCAGGGTGCCCGGGCACGGCAGGTGCCTCTTCCCCCTTTCCCCAGCACCTCCGACCCGCACGAAGAGCCGCGCCCCGCCCAGGGCAGCGCTGGGGCTGGAACGGCGATGTTCTCCCACCGTCGTCATTCCACGGGGCACTGCCGGGCACACCCGGAAGGGTGCAGGTCCTGCCGATGCCCCAGCACGGCCCGGGAGCCGCAGAGCCCCGAGGGTCGCCCTGGGACCCTGCGGGGATGGAGAGACCCGGCGGGGATAGAGGGATCCCGTGGGGATGGAGGGATCCTGTGGGGATGGAGAGACTTGGCGGGGATGGAGGGATCCCACGGGGATGGAGGGATTCTGTGGGAATGGAAGGATTCCGTGGGAATGGGGGATTCTGAAGGAATGGAGGGATCCTGCAGGGACGGAGGGATTCTGTGGGGATGGAAGGGATCCTGTGTGGATGAAGGAATCCCGTGGGGATGGAGGGATCCTGTAGGGATGGAAGGATTCCGTGGGAATTGGGGGATCCCGCGGGGATGGAGGGATTCTGTGGGAATGGAAGGATTCCGTGGGAATGGGGGATTCTGCAGGAATGGAGGGATCCTGCAGGGATGGAAGGATCCAGTAGGGATGGAGGGATCCCGCGGGGATGGAGGGATCCTGTGGGGATGGAAGGATTCCGCGGGGATGGAGGGACCCGGCGGGGCGCGACCCTGCGCAGCTTCCCCGAGGGCTGGAAGGGGCGGCGGCTCCCCAGGGAACCCCGGGGGTGCCCGGGAGCGATGGGACGGGACGGGACGGGACGGGACGGGACGGGGCCGCCCCGCCTCCCGCTTAAAGGGCCGCGCTGCCGGGCGGCCCGAGCGAGAGGGACCCGCAGCGCCCGCACCATGCGCTCCGCCGCCGCCCTCAGCCGCATCCTCCTCCTCCTCCTCCTCCTCCTCCTCCTGCCGCCGCCGCCCGCCGCCGCCTACTTCGGGTCAGCACCGCCCGCGGGCACCGGCCCCGGCGCCGCCTCCGCGCCGCGGACACGGGGGGAGCGCGAGGGGCCGTGGGGCAGCACCGGGACCCGCAGGGGTGGAACGGAGTGTCCGTGGGACAGCTGGGAGTGTCCGTGGGACAGTTGCGAGTGTCCGTGGGACAGCAGCGGGATCCGGGGATGGGGGACGGAGTGTCCGTGGGACGGCGACGGGGTCTGAGAGGGAACGCGGAGCGTCCGTGGGACAGCTCGGAACGTCCGTGGGGCAGCGTCGGGGGCCGTGGGAGTGTCCGTGGGACAGTGCACGGGCTCCGGAGGGGAATGTGGAGTGTCCGTGGGGCAGTTCGGAGTGTCCGTGGGGCAGTCCGGGGCCCGTGGTGGGATCGCGGTTCCCGTGGGATCGCCGTTCCCGTGGATGCCCCGCGGAGGGGCCGCGGGGGCTCCACGGGGCTACCCTGGCCATGGGGACCGTCCCGACCGCTCCTTGGGCGGGGGGTCCCGCTCGGGCCCCGCACCTGCAGCGCCCGGAGCATCCCCCGGAGCATCCCCCGCACGGCCCGGGAGGAGCCGCGGAAGGGCCGTAGGGTTTGGGTGTCGCAGCAGCCCCCCCGTTGCTCCCGGGCAGCCCGGAGAGAGGGGACCGGGGGGGAATCACCCTGTGGGAACGGGCCGGGGACACGGGGTGGGACAAGCTGTCTGCTGGGAGCAAGAGGGGGAAAAACTGGACCTGTAGCCCCGAAGTGCAGCCCCGTGTCTGCTCAGGGACGTGGCTGGCAGTGATTCCTCCCTGCTAGGCGGTTTCCCCGGGGGGCAGAGGGTGGGATGATGGGGCTGGTAAAGGGAGCCAGGGCCCAGCGGGGAGGGGAGGGTGACCCCAGGGTGCTGAGGGGCTCCACGGGACTAAAGCCAGCACAGGGACAGAGGGGTCCCCTCGGGTGCAGGGAGGCAGAGCTGCTGCTCCAGCATGGGACGCTGCAGGGTCCCCTGGGCTCGATTGTCCTCCCCCCACATTTCTGTTTGCTTGGGATAAAGGCAGAGATGGGTTTGGAACAGGTTGGGTCAAGGCAGAATTTCCCATGCAGAGTGTTCTGTTTTGCCTCGTTTTCTGTGTGAGCTGCTCCTCAGACACGTTTTTTAGACTCTCTTAAGGGTAGCCAGAGCTGTTGGGCTGTGTGTGTGTGTCAGGGAGTGCAGAACAGGCACAAACATCAGCACATTCAGACACTGTTGGGAGGGATTGCAGCTCTCAGGACAGGTCAGTGCTGCCTTGGCTGGGAAGGCTCTGCTGGTTTGCTCACCTAGGACACGATCCCTGTTTCGTTTCTGCTGCAAAGCTTCCTTAAATCAGCTGGATTTTAAATTTACTACCTGTATCATTCAGCCTTGCTCACATCTGGGTCTCTGCTGATGGGGAGGGCTCCCTTTTCTCCCTCACCCAGAGCTGTGCAGGAACCTGCTCTGTGAAGGGGTTTTTGGCTTGCCACCCACAGGGACATGAGCCCATGGTTGTGCCAGTGGAAGGCAATGAATTTGTTCTGCCCTTCCAGGCAACACCAAGACTTTTGCTCAGGCTGGATTTTCTTTGAGAAACCTGAATTATTCCTCACCCTGTGGCATCAACCTGTTGGGTGCAAGCTGCTTTCTGGGCTACCAAATCTGTGTGTGCTGCCTCCTGACAATGCCCAGCCCGGGCTCTGAGGCTGCAGGTTCCCTCTGAAGTGTGGGGATTTTTGTTCCCTGAGGGGTTCGACCCAGGGGTGTCCTGCATATCCCCCACCTCTTCATCTGGAAGCAACAAGAAGAAACTGAAGTCTGAGAACTCCTGGTGGTGAGCAGTGTGTGGCAATATTTCAGAGAGAAAGTTGAGTTTATAGACTTGTGAGGGAACTTGAATAGTCTAGAATATCTTCGAATATTTTAGAATATTTTAGAATACTTTAGATGTGGCCTCAGCTGGGGAGAAAAGCAACCTCACATCCAGATTACTCCTGAGCTGAGGGGACTGGAGAGCTGGGTCAGTGTTTGCCTCCAGGTTTTGCCAAACAGGAGAGACTTTGACAAGTGACTCAGATCTCTGCCTTCCAAACACTTAATGAGGAAAACCTGCAAAGGTGCAAGAAAAAGGGAAGGTTTTTGGGGGAAGAGAGGGGACCTGAGCCCTTCCTGTGTGTGCAGGGTGTTTGGCAAAGATGAAGTGTTGCTGGTTGAAAAGGTGAAGAAACAGCCAAGTTTGATTCCATCGGGATAGAAGTGAGGCATGAAGTGCGTGGGGCAGCCCAGCAAAAATCATCCAAGTGCCTGGGAAAAGATGCAGATCATCCCTGAACATACAAATCTACAAAGCTCTGCCAGGGCTTTAGGACAAGGGGCTTTTAAAGGACAGCAGCTCCCCCTCCATCCCCAGCTCCTGGAGCTCTTGGCTCACTGGTGTCAGTGCTCTGGCTGGGCTTGAACAGACCCTGAACTGCCAGGGCAGGGTCTGCAGGGGGTAAATTCAAACCTGCTTTTAGGAGAGGCTCTCTGTGCACCGTGGGCTGTGGCAGGGGCTGTGTGGGGTTTCCTGGCTGCAGGAATCCTGGAGGGGCTGCTCCCCTGGGCACAGCTGGTGAGCACCTCCCAACTTCCTTCCTGCTGCTTTCACCTTTGCTTCAGTCCCCCCCCATCCTGCAGCTCCTGGGAGGTGTTCCCTCCTTGCCTCAGCCCCCCTTCCAGGGTGTTCATGTCCTGGGGTGCTGGGAATCTCTCCAGATCTCATTAAAAGCTCTCTCAGCCTCCTGCTGCCTCCTCAGGGGCCGTGTTTTCAAGGTGAAAAGGCATTTAGGATGTGCTGGAGGGCAAAGAGCTCCTCAGAGAGGCTGAGGAGGTGGGTCCTCCTAGAATTAGACCGGGGCACAATCTGGAAGAGACCTCCCTCAGGTAGGATGTTGTTGGGAAGTTCCAAACCTGATCAAAGCCTTTTCCTGGGAGAGCTCTGTGGAGCAGGCTGGGACCTGTCTGACCCATGGGCCAGCCTGGCCTGTGCTCTGTGGGCAGCCAGATCTGCTGGAGCCTTCAGAACCCCTCCTGAAATACCTGTGGTAGGTGCAGAGGCACCGGGACTCCTGGGATTTCACAGGATTCCTGGGATTTCCCAGGATGTGCTGGCTGGGCTCACAGCTCCTCTTTGCCCAGCCTGCCTGTGCCCTCTGTGTTTAGGGCTGGTTCTGCTCCCACCATGGCCAGGGGCACAATTGTTGCTCATTTCGTGATGGGAGAGGTTTTTTGGGCTCCCTGGGGAGTAAAACCAGCAGGTGACCTGCAGGTCTGTTGAATCTGGGGCTTGCATAGTATTGAAAGCAGCATAATGTGCCAAATGACATCTTCATGTTAATATAAACCCCCTCAAACCCACTGTCCCCACCTCCCCTGTGTCCTGGGGATGTCCAGCAAGGCTTGGATTCCATCCCATTAACCCATTTACCCACATTCCTACATTTTCTTTGGCAACTCCTTTATTGCAGCATTTCCCTGACAAACCTAATGGGCCAAATGTCCCTCAAATAGGGACTCTGCTGTCTGAGTGTTCCTGGAAAGGTTTCAGAGAACGTTTCTCTTCCTGTTGAGCCGATAAATTAAAAGCTGCTGTTACTTACAGGCTGCATCCTCATTCCTCACAGCCCAGTGTAGCAGGAGGGTTTGTCACAGCCTAGTTTTTTTGGCATTTTCAGTCACTTGGGTGTTAAAAAAGAGAGAGAAGGGGCAGAAATGGAGGGGAGGGCAACTTTCAGCTGAGCCTTGGAAAGCTGGAGTGTGAGGATGGAGTGGGCAGTGATTGCCACAACAGGGATGTGTTGCAGGGGTAAAGGCTCTGACTGAAAGATCCCAGCTCAGCCCTCACCCAGGTCACTCCTTTTCCTCCCAGACCTCTGATGTGAGAATTTGATATCCTGTTCTCTGTGGAGCTTCGGGAGAATTCCTTTTAAAAAATGGGTGTGGACACCCCAACTGTTGCTGCTCCCAGGAAGGGTTTGCAGCAAGCAGAGCCCCCACCAGAGGATTCCAGCTCATAACCTCGTGTAAACTCACCTGAGGTTTTAATTCAAGCTTTTTTTGACTCTGTGAGGAGCAGAAACTTGGTAGAAAACCTGGAGGACGACAGGAATAGAGACACCTGCCCCGGGGGCTGAAATGACAGCTCTGATGGTGCAAGGTCAAAACCTTTGATATCAGTCATTAAATCCCAATATTGGTTATTGAGATGTATAATTTGGAGGCTTTGGGGATTTCTGCCTCCTTCTTTGTAGGCAGTGGGTGGTGCAAAGCAGGGACCATCCCAACTAATCCCAGCAGTACAACACTCACTTCATCAGGGACAGATCTGGAGGATTAAATGTGGTGTTTCTGAAAGGACCAGAACTCTTTCACTAAGCTGGGAGCGGGGACAGAGGACACTGCAGGACCTTTGTGCACCACCCTGGCCTTGCTTTGCTCACATCCCACGTTCCCTCAGCCTTCCCTGAACGCCTCTTGCAGCTCTCAGTAGGGTGTAGATGTTCCTGTGGAACATGAAAGGCCCCTGAAATCAGATAGGGAGGATTGCAGGGGCTCCCTTTGATTTTTCTCCTTGCTTGGGAGAGGTAGGAAAGGCACATTTTGACGGGTTTTTCAGACCTCTCAGCTCCAGAGGACATCGGGCACTGCACAAGAACAGGCTCTCTCATTAAAAGTCTCTTAAGCAGCTGGAATGTGGCTGGAAGGAGATTAAAGGAAATAGATGAATTTACCAAAGTGCTCAGACAGAAAAAGCAGAGAGAAATAAAAGTTGGAGCTCCTTATTGTTCTCTCAGATCACGAGCAGGTGTGCATTAATTCAAAGAGCTCCCTTTTTTCGCCGTATGATCTGTAGATAATAAACCCTAAATCATCTAAAAACGATGTGCAGTTTGACCAAGTGCAAATATCTGCATACTTTATATTTAATATTGTTTGAGTGTTTCCATCCTGTGCTCTTGGTCTGACCCTGTGCTGGTTTTACCCCAATGAAACACAGTTGTGGTGGGAACCTGCAAAGCCTCCCCTCAGATGGGTGATCCTGGTGGGTCAGTTGTGACCCAGAGAGTGGCTTCTGCTCCCAGTTGTGCCACTGGTCACCCCCAGGGCCTTGGGCACCCCTTTAACTGCTCTGCCTGCTTGGTTGGATTGGAGGTGATGTGAGGGACTGGTTTGGACAGTGGTGTCTGGGCATGGATCTTGTTCCTGGAATCCTGATCCCTGACAGGATCCTGAGCCTCCAAACACAGCAGTGCAATTTTTCCTGCTGGCCTTCACCTGTCTGAGGTGATGGTTGTGAGAGAAAGGTTATGTTCCAGGTAGCTTTAATGACATGACTTAACCAATTTACTACTTGTTTCACTGACCGTGATGTTTCCATCTGGTTATTTCTGAGCTCCATTTCTAGAGGAAAACCAAGTTGCTTTGTGTGTTGCAACATCACAAACTCAGTGATAAGCACAACAAAGAGAACAATCACAGCAAGGAGTGCCACGTGCTCTGAGGTGGGCTCAGCTGGTGCCAACAACACCAGGTTTGATCCGTGAATGGGATCAAACTGAAAGTCACTCAAGAGCTGGACTGGATGATCCTCAAGGTCCCTTCCAGCTCAGAATATTCTGGGATTCTCTGCCTGTGTAAGGAAGTTTTCCTGTGCTCTTCGTGTCAGATGCTGCGTTACCTCTGTCAGAATTTCAAGTGTTGCTGGATTTGGTTCTAGGAAGTGTTTTTCCCCTGAAGCTTTCACTTTGCATGGTGTAAAGGATGAATTAGACTTGGTATCTCTGCTCTGTGTGTGGCCCCAGGGCGTGTTTGCTCTGCACTGTTGAGATTGCTCTGCAAATGGCACCAAGTTCTTCGAAGGTTCTCAGGGTGCCTGTTGTTGTTCTGTTTGGGTTTCCCACAAATGTTAGCACCCAGCATCCTTCAAGGCCTGGAAAATGGCAAAATCACCTTCTCCCAGATCTCACTGGTGGGCCACTCTGGAGATAATCTCTGCCCAGGATTGCAGACCAGCTGTCCTGGCCCAGACCAAGGGCTCATGTGGCTTCCCCACCTGAGTCAGCACTGGGAATGAGAAATATGAAGAGAAGAGCACAAAAAGGAGCAGAACAGCAGATAGAGATGCTCTCTCAGGATCCCCTCCAGTTTCTGACAGTTTGCCCCTCAAGAGTTGCCTCTGTCAAAGTATCTTTGTGTTTGATGAGTTCTTCTTCCATAGTTTGCATGAACACGTGGATACTTTGGCATTCCTTGTGCCCTGGCATTGAGCAGGGCTTCAAGTCCACCTGCAGCCTCTGTGCCCCATTTCACTTAGCTTTGGTCTATCAGCTCATAAATTACCATCATTCCCCCTGGCTCTTGTATATTGGAGTCAGAATAATCTTGACTCATTCACAGGTCAGTCCTGCTTTCAAAGCCCCATGTTCTCCTTGTGTTCCTTTTTTGTCCTGGTAGGAGTTGTGGGAGACACCCAGTCCATCTGTGTTCATACACAAGCTATTTTGGAAACCTGTCCACTATACAGGATGGTAGAATTTGAGTTGTCTCTTCAGTGGCTCCTTCACAGCAGGTTTTAAGAGGCCTGACCACTTTCCACAAAAGCTGTGTTGCCTCTTCTCCCCTGTTCTGTGTTTAACCTCTCCCCGCTAATTCTACTCAGGTTTCAGAGTTTCTCTCAGCTCTTCCCAGTGCTGTCATTCATCACATCTCTTGTAAAAATTTGGAGGATGTTTATCACCTTTTTCTCCCTTTCACACTCAAGCAATACCTTTACAGCACATTTTCCTTCCTGTCAGCCCTCGATGCCATCAGACACCCCCTGAGTGCCCAGAGCTGCAGAAGAGCTCCGAGTCTTGGCTTTTTGGCACCACGTGAGCCAGGCAGAGCCATCAGGCTGCCTCATCCTGGTTGGCCTCACTCCCTTAGGTCAACCTCTTGTCCCTCAGTGCAGTTCCTCCGCCTCAGGCCTGTCGTGTCCCTCGAGCACCAGCTGTGCTGGCTCCTCTGGGCAGAGTTTGGTGTCACACAGGGCTTGGACCTGTGCTGCCTGAACTGCTCTCTGGAGCTCACCAAGCTGTGTCAGTTCGAGTTTCTTGAGCTGAACCTGCCCCAAAGCCCTGCCTCTGTCTCCAGCCTTGCCTGGTTGTTTCTTGGCTCACTGGGTCGTCCTGTGTTTCTGTCCCCCAGTTCAGCACTGATGATGGGATGAAAAGATTCTTCTCACCCACTTGGTTTCTAAGGCTCAGTGCTCACAGAACATCACAGAATCCCACAATATTCTGAGTTGGAAGGGACACCAAGTCCATGTCTTCAGTGAATTGTCCACACAGGGACTGAGCCCACAACTTTGGCATTATCAGCTCCACGCTCTGACCAGCTGAGCTCATCTCGGGGTTCTGTGGGATCCACAAGGTTCCCTGTTCTTGGGAAGTTTGCAGGTCCCTGGGTGATTCTATGTGTTATTTCATTGCATTTGTTCCCAGATAAGGGTGTGTGAGCACATCTGGAGGTGAGAACAGAGGCAGAGTTCTGTGGGGTTAGGCCTGAACTGGACTCCTGTGCCTGGATAGACTGGGATGGCTCCACACACCTGCAAACACAGACAGTCAGAGTGTTGGACAGTTCCACTGGGAAGAGCCTTGTTTTCCCAGGAGCCTGGGAATGGTGCACAGATGAAGAGTCTCACTGCCTGCTCTGCTGGGGGGAATGGCTTGCTTGGTACCAACAAGCTGCTGGAAGCACCACCTTCCTGCCCATCTCCACCTGCTTTGTGTTGCTCAGGTGGGCAGGGAAAGGGATGGAGAGTCCCTGCACTGCTGGTGGCAGTGCCAGTGGCCAGGATGTCCTCGTGGGAATGCTCCAGAGCTGGCTCCTCGTTGCATCCCTCCCTCTCCAGCTCTGCTGGTCTGGCTCCCACAGTGGAGTGGGGCCCATTTGCCTGAGTTGGGGAGAGGAGCAAGAACCAACCAGCTCTTCCATTTGTACTCCCTAAACTACCCATGGACTTGCACAGAAAGCCACATGTTTTGGGAGAGGGAAGGTGTTGTCTGCAAATGTTACTGTGGAGGCTGAGATGTGTCCAGAAGTGGAGGTTCCAGGATGTTCCCATTTCCCTGGGTTTGGTATTTTCTGGGTGGGGGTTGGGGCACTCTGTGATCCTGTGTTTGGCAACCAGGTGCCACCTTTTCTGCCTTTCACACTCAGGCAGATTCAAGCAATACCTTTTGCACCACATTGTCCTTCTGGGTCAGCCCCCAGACAGGAATCAGCCACCCCTGAGCTACAGGAGAGCTCAGTCTTGGCTTTGCAGCTGCTGCTTGAAGTGCATCAATGCCCCTGACAAACCAGGGGGAGCTCAACAGCCCTGAGTTAAACTCTGTCTGCTCAAGGTCTGAATTTGTGACTTCACCTTCCCCCTCTGGCTGTGGCCTCTCCAGATCCCTGCTGGGCAATCCCACCTGCCCCCGGTGTGTTTGCAGCCCTCAAAGCTTGCATCAAACCAAAACAACTCCTCTGTGTTTTCAAGCATCCTGAAGATAAATTCTGCAAGAAAAATATTGTCTTGCCCTAAAAGGGAAAACGTTTGCCTCAAAAATATGTTGCATTTTCCAGCTGAGTTACCTGTTGCTGTTACGTCTGGCAGGACATTTTTATTTGATTTTTCCTTCATTTTTTTTTCAGCAAGAATATGTTTTCCAGCAAAACTCATGCTGGCTGTAGGAAGGTGGTCATTGATGCTGTCTCCCCACTGGGCTTTCCTGGTAGTGTCCAGTGGCACAAATTCTGGGAAGGGCGTGGTTAGAGCTTTTTGGAGAGCTCTGACCTGCAGCACCATGGGGTAACCAGGAACTGGGAACTCACTCTGTGACTGGGAAGGAAACCAAACTGGAGGGGTGTAGATGTATCATAGGACCCTAGAATGGGTCAGGGTGGAAAGGACCACAGTGGGTCACCTTGGTCCCATCTCCCTGCTCCAGGAGGGCCATCCCAGAGCACGTGGCACAGGATTGTGTCCAGAGGGGTCTGGAATATCCCCAGTGAGGAAAAGTCCACACCCTCTTCAGTGCTGGGTCACTGCACACCAAAGAAGTTCTTCCTCCTGTCCAGGTGGAGCTTCCTGGGCATCAGTTCCTGCCTGTTCCTTTTGTGCCATTGCTGGGCCCCCCCCAGCAGAGCCTGGTCCATCCTCTGCCCCCTCCCTGCAGGCACTGACACACCCTGGGGAGGGCCCCTCTCTGTGTCTCCTCTGGGCTCCCTCAGCTCCCAGAGGTGCTCCAGTCCCCTCCTCATCCTTGTCACCCTGTCACAGAGCCAAGAGAACCTTCCCACCAGGGGTTGCTGGAGACAACACATGTGTTTTTCCTTGCTGCCCACAGCATCACCCTGGCACTCTGCCTTGGTGTGTGGTGGAGATGGGACACAAGACCTAATCAATCTGTATTGATTGATCTTCTGAGATGGTGGAGGACCATGACCTGCAGCTTTCCAAATATCCTGCCCTGCAATCTGCCATTTGAGAATCAGCAGAGAGTCCCCAAATGTTTGGGGTTGGAATGGACCTGTAAAAGCCATCGAGCCCCACGCCCTGCCACGGGCAGGGACACCTTCCACTAGTCCAGGTTTCTCAGAGCTCCTGTCCAACCTGGCCTTCAGGGAGTCACAGAATACACCAGGTTGGAAGAGACCCTCAAGGATCATCCAGTCCAGCTCCTGGCCCTGCGCAGGACCCTCCCCCAGAGTCACACCCTGTGCCTGAGCTCCCTGAGCTCTGGATCCGTAACCTCTGCTTTCCCTGCTTCCTTTCAGCCTGACTGGGAAGGAAGCCCTGACCCACTTCCCATCGCTGGTGCCCCCCGCGGGCTCTGCCCAGGGCAGGGTGCACGTCAAGCAGTGTGATCTGCTCCAGCTGTCCCGCAAGCAGAAGCGGCTGTGCCGGAGGGAGCCGGGCCTGGCCGAGACCCTGCGCGACTCCATCCGCCTGGGCATCGTGGAGTGCCAGTTCCAGTTCCGCAGCGAGCGCTGGAACTGCAGCCTGGAGGGGAGGACCAGCCTGCTCAAGAGAGGTACAAGGTAGTTGGTTGGTTGGCAGGGAAAGCTCCCGGTGCTGCAGCCCCTGGAATGCCCAGCTCAGATCCAGCCAAGGGGGGTCTGAGGGAGCGCCCAGGGCATCCCTTTGGCCCCGGGATGGGCGAGCCGGGCCCCTTTGCTGCAGAACAAACTTTGTCCCCCTGTTCCCTGCACGGTTTGTCCCGGATTGGAGGGTGGGAGGACGCTGTCACCCTTGGCTTGTGGATTTTTGTCCAGAGGTCCCTGGACTGAGCACCCTCCTCAGCTGGGAATCAGGGTGATAGTGTGGGGAAAGAGGGGCAGGGCTTGATGTCAAGGGATGTTTTAATAAGAAACCCTTTTTAGGCCTCTGGGTATTTGTTATTCTCAGATGCAAAATTTATACCCACTTTCTGTTGGTCAGCAGGACTGTTTATACCTGTTTGCCATTTATCAGCATTCAGGCATCTCAGTGCAAGCTGACAAATCTCTCCTGAGACTCTTTCCCGTAAATTTGGAGTTTTTGTAGAAGTTTAGGATGGACAAATGAGCCATTGACTTCTGTTTCCCAAAATGCTTTAGAGGAAGAACATGTCCCTTAAATTCTCTATTTGAGGTAGGAGGGAGCACAACAAATCCTTCAAATTATAAGAACTTGAGAAAAACAGAATTAAGACAGACACTGAAATCATTTCTTAGTAAAAGTACTTTTGCTAAACCTGTCCTGACCCAAACAAAGCCTCACTGAGTGTTACCCACTTTCAGCCCTTCAATGACTTTTAGTGGCATTTACTAAACTTCATTCTTCAGAATCACTGAATTTCAATCCTTTAATAACATTTAGTAACTTAAAGTTTTTTTAAAAAAGGGCCCGGCCAAGCCAAAATTAACTTCGATGAAAATAAATGCAAATTTTAATTAGCCTTTGGATTGAACATTTTTAACGTTTCCATTTAAAATTATCCACTTTTACTATATTAAATATAAAGGTAATATTTTATTAAACCAGTACGTGCAGGGTCAGATTTACCTCCTTGCAAGGTTCCATTGCAATTTTTTTTTTTAATTTTAGCACACAAAAGCAAATTTCTTTAGTTGAAGAAGCTGTTTGTGATCATTTTGAGCGTCTTTCTGACACCTGCACCTTCATCATCAGCCTCAAAGAACTTGAAAATGACAATTGAATAATCCTCCTCTTCAAATAGCCGCAAAACATTTCATTACCCCGGCGGTGACAAGCCTTGACATTTCCAGGGACTCCTGACTGACAAAATAAAATATCACCTGGAATTTCAAACCTGTTTTGGCAAGGGAGGAGAAGGGGTTGAAAACTTTTATTACACAATCTTTAAGGCTCAAATGATGATTTAATACGGCCAGGTATGCTGGGTGCCCCCCCCCCGGGTGAGGGGACAGTGGGTTGGGAGCAGTTTTTGGTTCTCCTTTGCCTGCAGCTTCCAAAGGAGTTTGGTTCCTTCACAAAGAGCATCAGCACTCTCAGCTGCCACTTTTGTGGCAGCTGAGAGTGCTGATGCTCTTTGTGAAGGAACCAAACTCCTGTTTCTCACATTGCTTGGAAATCTCTTGGAAATTGTTGGCCAGACAATGGACCCTTCTCCTAAAACTGAAGAGTTTTAGGAGTGATCAAACCATTAGAGAGAAACCACAAAGAAAAAAATACACATTTTTAACAGTCTTTGAAGGTCTCACGAGTGCAAGAGAATGAAGAAGGTCGTGTCCCAGTGAGCTGGGTTGTTTCTGGGAGGAGTGAAGAGCCACACCCAATTTTTTAGTCCCAAACTGCCATGGCTGATGTGGGTCATCGATGTTTTCCTGCTTTAGAGATGGGGAAAACCCCAAAAAGAGTCAAGGGCTTTCTGGTCTTTGAAATGCCAGATTATTATAGTCACAGTCTGCACCATTTGTTGTTCTGGACACTTTTCTTTTGCATAACCTGCAACTCCTTTGTGACCATTGTCACTTATGACAGCTGTCACTGTTCACTGATCCATGCAAATCCTTCTGCATTCCCTCTCCACTTCCTTAAAAATCCATGCTAAGAGTTAGACTGAAAATGATTCTGGAGAGACATCTGAAGCCATCCTCTTGGACAGTGGCAGTTGGTGTCTTTGTAAAGCACTGATGGTCACTTGGTGTCCCAAGAGTGCCATAAAGGTTGCTGAAGGTCAGGTAAACAGAATTTCATCTCCAACAAGATGGTGCTTTAGGGAAAATAAATACCTACAGCAAACAGCTCCAAACCAGGCACTCAAAAAAAAAAAAAAAAAAAATCCTTCTTGGGAAATGAGCACTCTACAATCCTTCCATCCATCAATCCATTTCTTGGCCTCATGCTGGACTTTTTGACCTTCAAGCAGTGCTTTTGTTGATGCCATGAGGAATCGAGGAACGGTGCAGCAGAGGGGTGGTAGCTCAGAGATGTGGAATTTCCACCACGGGAGATTTTGGGAACTCAGCTGGAGAAGACCTGAGCAGCTGGCACTGAGTTAGCCCTGTTTTGAGCAGGAGGTTGTGCTAAAGACCTCGAGAATCCTTCCATCCTAAATCCTTCCACAGCTCTTTGTCGTTTGGTTGGTTGGTTGGTTGGTTGGTTTGTTGATGTGATTGTTTTCCCTCCTCCACTTATTCTGAAAGGCTCACTTATCTTCACTGCAGCACTGAAAAATCATTGCCCATGAACATCTCTCCTTTGGCAGAACCAGCCCATGGCTGAACTCCTCCTGTTATAGTTTTCCTTGTGGTCTGGAGCACAGCACAGTCAGAACAGCGGTGCCATTGCAGCAAACATCTCTCTGTATTTATAGGCTGCTGAGCTCAGAAATCCTCCCAGAGAGCTCAGGGGAAGCCTTGGGCCCGTGCAAGGTCCCACCGAGGGGGCTGGTTTGCTTGGAATTCCTGCTGTGCTGCGAACACATCTGCAGGGAGAGGTTCCCCCTTGCCCCAAGTGTTTCAGATTCCATCTGGTCCCAGTCAGAGGGCTCAGGGCAGTGACTCATCCCCAGAGTGGGTCCTGCCAGCCCGGCATCGGCTCCAGGCTCCGCTGGCTCCGGTGACAAGGGCTGCTTTGGCACAGTGGGAGGAGGGACACCAGGACTCATAGGGAAACCTCTCCTCAGATCTTCAATCTGCTCATTGCAGCTGATTGCTGCCCATTTGTGGTGTGTCCCACTGAAACTCCAGCTGCTGCTCTGTTGCACATTGTTATTCCACAGGGGCTGAAGGCTCTTTCAGTTCTCCCTTCACCATGAAATGGTGATCGATCCCTTAGGACAGAGAACAAGGAATCATCTCAGACTCTTTGGACAAGCGTTTGGCAGCCTGGAGATGTCGAAGCTTTGCCTCGGGAGGAGGTGGGAGGGGCAGAGAAGGAGATGATTTGAAAGCCTGCTTGGGATGTGCAGTCCCTGCTGTCTGCAGTGGCCTGACCACAAGCCATGGCCTCTGGTTTGCAGTGGGCTGAGAGCTGGCCAGCACTTCCATGGAGTGCCACAGGATAACCAGGGCAGTGCTGGGCAGAAACAGCAGGAGCAGTGTGGTGTTCCACAGAGCCAGATTTAGTAGGGGCTGAGGAGCTGCCCGGGGGCTGCTCCTCGTTCAGATGGTATGAGAAAGGCTTTCTGGAATGTTCTCCTTGCTTTTGGGATCAGAGGGACAGAGAGGATACTGGGAATCTGGTAAACATTTGGAGATTGGCTTCTGGAATGATTTAACAGGGTCACAAAAATATTTCACCCCCTCTTGGCTCCTTCTTTGGGGTGAGTTGGCCACTGTTTGAAAATGTGTGAGCACCTTGTTGCTGTCCACAGTCTGCACTGGCTGTGTCTCACACCAGCTTTTCCAAATCTTTTGATGGATTTGGTGACATTGTTCTTCCAGTACCCTGAGAAATGTTACAGGGCATCATCAACCAGAGAGGTTAACTGCAAATATTATTGCCCCAGTGCTTGCAGCGACCAAGATGGTGAGGGCAGGAAGGAGTTTGGTGGTTGATCTCCTTGACCTCCTCCATGCTTTGACTCTCCCCTCGTGCCCATACTGTCGTTGGATCTTTATCTGCAATTCTGCAGTTCCAAGGAGCTCCTGTGCAGTCTGTACTGAAGTTGGCCAATGCAGCCTCTCCACTGGGCTCATGGTCAGTCCCACATCTTATTCTTCTTGCTGCCAACCACCAGGAGAGCTCTGTGTCCTGTTCTCGGGTCGGATTTGTGGTGGTGTGACTCAGATCTCAGCAGGCAGTGGCCTGATCTCTTATTGCAGCTTGATGGGAATTGTTTGAGGGAACAGAATAATGGAAAGATCTGAGGTTGGACTCGGTGAATTCCAGAGGTGATTTCCAATCTCTGCTCCAAGCAGGTGCCTGTAAAGCTAGATCAGGTCTCTGTGGTTGTCTCTCTCTCTTCCATTACTGGGGGAAACAGATTTTCATCTGATGTGGAAGGAAAATTGGAATTTTCCCATATGGAATATCTGTTTGCTTCAATGTGTTTTCCTCCATGCAAAGTGCCAGTGCTCTATTTTTCATAAACTATTTTTTTTTCTGTTTTGGCTGATCTTACCCATTCCTGCACTCAGAGCTGTTGATCCATCACCTACCTCTCTTCCTTGCACTGATTCCTAAATTGTGGACTTGTTAAACAAGTTCTCATTAATAGTTTTCTTTTCTACAAACAAACTGTGGAAAGAATATTAGGATTATCCCTATGATTGAATAGGCAAAGAGGTAAATATAAGGAGTAAATAAACTATTTTGGGGTTTAGGTCAGGTTTGTGTCAATCAGAGTTTCTGGAACTTCTATGGAGCTCATGGGCACTGTATCAACACTCCCATTCCTGCCTGATCTCACATCTCCAGGCTGAATTTTCATGCAGTCACTGATTTTTGATTTCTGGTTAAATGTCCTGGTGTGCCATGGTCACACCAGGACCTCAGGGACTGTGGCCAACCTGGGAAGGCTCCTTTGGGAAGAGAATTCAGAACACAGCCCTGCAGTCCCTGGGAGTGGGTAATTGACAGGGAATGCAGAAAACCCACTCACACCCACCCATCACACAGTCCATCAGCCCGTGGGGAGGGTGGGCACACACGGAGCTCCACGGATGTCTCTTTTTGCAGTTGGATGTTTTCCCACCCCTCCCTTGATCCATGAGCAGCCTCCTGTCCATGTCACAGAGTCACAGGACATGCTGGGTTGGAAGGGACCCACAAGGATCATCGGGTCCAGCTCCTGGCCCTGCACAGGCCCATCCCCAGGAGTCACCCCCTGTGCTCCAGAGGATCATCCAAACCCTCCTGGAGCTCTGGCAGCCTTGGGGCTGTGCCCACTGCCCTGGGGAGCCTGTTCAGTGCCAACCACCCTCTGGGAGAAGAACCTTTCCCTGAGATCCAACCTGAGCCTGCCCTGACACAGCTCAGTCCCTGCCCCTCCTCTGCCCCTCCTGCCCCTCCTCTGCCCAGGAAGTCGCTTTGAACCCATCACAGCCACAGGGTGAGAGACTGGGGTGTCACCACACCAGTTACTTCAAACACGACATGGAGCTTCTCTGCTAGGATTGTGCAAGTAAAGAGTTTAATCCCTTTGCATTTATAATTAATGTAACTATTGTGCTTAGTTTTTTAGTCCACGCACAGTCAGGAGAACCAGGGAGGTGGCTGAACACCCTATTTTGCCTTTTCTGCTCCTACCCTCTCCCAGAACTTCTCCTGTGCAGGTTTTAAGGAGACTGCCTTCCCTCCCCCTCTGCCATGTCCCTGTGTCCCTCACGCCCTCGCTGGGTGTTGTGCCTTTGCATCTACAATTACTGTGCTTGGCTTTAGTCATGATGAGTCAGGAGAGCCAGTGAGAGAGTCTTTATTATTTTGCCTCTCCTGCTCTTGCCCTCTCCTAATCCTGGCCCCACCAAGGCTGTGAGGGGACTTCTTTCCCCTCTGCCACCTCCTCTGCGTCCCTCACGCCCTGGCTGGGCTCTGCCTCACCGTGTTTATGATTGTTCCAGTCCATAGCCGGGCAGCAGGGGTGGCTGAACACCTTACCCTTGCCTCCCTGCTCGTCCCCTGCAGGTTTTAAGGAGACAGCGTTCCTGTACGCGGTGTCGGCGGCGGCGCTGACGCACTCGCTGGCGCGGGCCTGCAGCGCGGGGCGCATGGAGCGCTGCACCTGCGACGACTCCCCCGGGCTGGAGAACCGCAAGGCCTGGCAGTGGGGGGTCTGCGGGGACAACCTCAAGTACAGCACCAAGTTCCTCAAGAAGTTCCTGGGGCAGAAGAGGATCGGCAAAGACCTGCGGGCCAAGGTGGACATCCACAACACCAACGTGGGCATCAAGGTGAGGAGCTGGGGGGACGTCAGCGCTCCGGGCAAGTCCTCTAACCCGTCCCCAGCTGAGGCTGTTTTGGAGGGAGGAATTCCCTGTCCTGCTCACAAACAACACCTGATTGTCTGTGTGTCCTGGCACTGAGAGCTCCCTGGAAAGTCCCCTGAACTCTGGTGTGAGGAGCTGCATGTTGACAGGCGGAGGAGCATCCTATATCCTCCAGTGGTACCAGCAACACACAGCACAGGGACAGCTGGGACATTCAGTGGCTGAGTGACTCCACGGGCTGTGCCACAGCCACAGGGAGCTCTGTGAACAGCTAGAGCTTCAGGGCTGGTGGGACGTGTAAGGCAAGAGTAAGGGCTGACACTCTTGAGGTCAATTACGAGTCTGCTGGTGACTCGCTGGGGAACTTGTCATGTCACAGGTTTGGGTCAGGGACACCATCAGATTGAGCACTTTGGCCTTCATTGGCATTATTGGCCTCCATATTTGGTCTCTACAGGCTACTGACTTATCGCTGTTTCCCATTTCCTGAGTCCAATCCATTGTTCAATCAGAGCCCTGTCTTCATTTAAACACACCAAAGAGAATCCACCATGCTGGAGATACTATTTTGGGTTTTTTCGGTTTTTTTTTTTACTCCTACTGGGCCAAATAGGCTTAGCAAGAACTTATTTGGTATTCAGCTGTTTGTCCTCATTTGGGCTTTCTACTCTCTGGCTCACCAGTGAACTCCGTAGCCACCCCTATGCTTTGGGTTTTTTTACACTACTATTACCTTTTCCCCTCATAAAATAGAAACAACACCAGTAAATTGAAGTCCTTGCAGGCTGCCCGCTCTCTGAGGTGTGAGGCTCACATAAAGCCCACCACTTCTCCTCCTCTTCCTCCTCCTCCTCCTCAGGCGGTGAAGAACGGCCTGAAGACCACCTGCAAGTGCCACGGCGTGTCGGGCTCCTGCGCCGTGCGGACCTGCTGGAAGCAGCTCTCGCCCTTCCACGAGATCGGGCGGCTGCTGAAGCTCCGCTACGACGACGCCGTCAAGGTGTTCAGCACCACCAACGACGCCGTGGGGCACTCGGAGCTGGCCGGGCCCCCCCGGCACGGGCACTCCCCGCGCCTGCCCCCGGCCCCCCGCGCCACAGACCTCGTGTACGTGGAGGACTCGCCCAGCTTCTGCCGCCCCAGCAAGTACTCGCTGGGCACCGCCGGCAGGACCTGCTCCAGGGAGGGCAACTGCGACAGCATGTGCTGCGGGAGGGGCTACAACACCCAGAGCAGGCTGGTCACCTTCTCCTGCCACTGCCAGGTGCAGTGGTGCTGCTACGTGGAGTGCCAGCAGTGCATGCAGGAGGAGGTGGTGTACAGCTGCAAACAGTAGGGGCTGCGCTGCAGGGGCAGGGCGAGGCCAGGGCAGCTGCCAGGGGGGCAGAGACGCGGTTCTCTGCCCGGGGGTGAGGGCAAAGGCCGGCACCACAAACGCTCAGTGCTCCCGTGTCCTCAGCGTCGGGATACTCCAGCCCCGGGATCCTCCAGCTCCCTGCAGGAGCGGGGGGGTGGTGGTGGGGAAACCAGAGGTCTTGGCGGGTGTCAGATCAGGAAGGAGGGGTGCAGAAGGGGAGGGGGGGGGATGTGGGGACAGCAGAAACACTGAAACAGTGATATATATATCTCTCTTGGGTTAAAATTTTTGCTCTTCAGGGATATCCTCCTCCTCCATCCCTCAGGTGCGCTTGTTTTGGGGTGGTGAGGTTGAGACACTGCCCTGCTTCCTGGAGAGGAGAGAATTAAGGGACTGGGGAGCAGTGAACCAGAGGCTGGATCCTGGTGTGGCAGGGACAGCCGTGTTCCTGCCCCGAGGTAGAAAGACTCTGGCAGCAGGGGATTCCCAGGGATTCCCAGTGCTGCTCCCGGGAGCTGCTTGGATCCCTTCTGCTGTGAACTCCAAGACACGCTGTTGAACAGCCTTATTTTTCTTGATGCAAGAATTGTGCCTCAGAAGTACCAGTTTACAAACAAATGGAGCTCATGGCCGTCACCTCCCGGATCTGCAGTTTGGACATTTGACTCCAAGGGCATTTTAACCACATTTTATCTTTGCTGTGCACAGGAGCCTGGAACTGCCTCTGTGACAGTGGATGTGCCACAGGAGGGCTCTGAAGTTCCCCCTCTGCAGCCTCACAGGGGGTATTTTGTGGTGGTGGATCCAGGGTGATGGTGCCAATTATACATCTCTCTTCCCCATCTCCCCAGTCAATCAATCAATCAATCAATCAATCAATCACCTTCTTTTCTTCTGGGCACCACTCTCTGCCTTGGTGCCCGGGGTGTGTCACACCCCACAGTCCTGCCCTGTGCTAATGACAGGTAAAAGTTCTGAAAGGGAATTAGGAACTGGGAATTGGGGCATCTGAGGAATTTGCAAGTCATGAGGTGACAATCCCCGCCCTGAGAAGTCAGATTTATCCACACACCGGTGTCTGACATGAACAGAAGGTGCCCCGGGGAAGGGAGCACAGGCTGTTCCAGTCTGTAGAGACCTTAAGCCATGTGTTGCTGGTTGACTTTAGGTTGAACACAATAGAAACAGCCTGCTTGGTCTCTTTGGCTGTGGTTTGCAGAGCAGTCCTGGGTGATCAGCTCTGTGCCAGTGTATTTTCCCACTCCAGGGGTTTTCCTGGCTAATCCTGCAGCTCTGGATTGTCCCTGAGGTAACAAGGCTGCTGTGTGTGCTCAGTGTTGGCAATGGGGATGAAGCAGCCAGGGTGGTGCTGGAGGAATATGGAAATCCTAAATCAGATCCAAATTCACTGGCAGTGTGACAGGTGAGGGTGCTGGTTTGGGTTGTCTGGATGGGCTCATCCATAGGCTGGGCTAGGAGAGCTGTCCATGGGATTGGGTTCTCCTGGGAGGTGGTGAGATCCTGGCTGTGGAGTGCGGATCTGCTGGACTCAGCTGTTCATTCTTCTTCAGTGAGGAGTGTGTGCTCACACCTGGAATTGTTTACCCTTTTATTTTTTTTTTTTTTACAACTCTGTTTGGTTTCTGCTCCCTCAGGTGCTGCAACACAGCTGTCCCAGAGCAGATCTGGCTGTTCAGAGGCCACCAAGACCTTCCCTTTCCCCAGATACAGGTCTTTTAAAAGGGCTTATTCCTTTTTATCCCTTCTCTGGCTCGAGTTGACTTGAAGTGAATTAAAGTGTTTATGACAGACATAATACTGCAAATAGGCTTAATTAGCCTTATTTTTTTTACCTCCTAAATACCCAAGAGCAGACCATTATTTACATGTTGCTTTTAATCCTTTTGGAGTTGAAATCTTCCCACGAGTCTCAGTGTTGGGCACTCAATGAAAAAGCTTCCAGATGAGCTAAAATTGGCATCAGAGGTGAAGTGACCAAGGAACTCACTCTGCTCCACACCACTGATCCCAAACCCTCTGCCCCACAGACCTCTGGGCTTGTCCAGCATCAGAGAGAAAGGGAATATCCCACCACAGGGGGTTCCTTTGGGGATCCCAGGGCATTTTATGGGTCTTTCCCATTTAAACAGGGACTGGGACTCTCTGGAAGGAGGGAGAAGCACAGCTGGATCCCATCCTTTGGGAAGCAAGTGGAGGAGGCACCACTCAGCCCTCTTGCTTTTATCAAAGCTGCACTTGAGCAGTTCAACAGGAACTGCTGATTGCAAACTGGGCAAAAAGATATTTCAGAGGAAAATTAAATTTTTTCATGCACCAAAGGGGGACTTTGGGGCCTGAAGCCTCTTGCCCTGCACGGCTCAGAGCTGCTTGAGGAATGTGGAGAAGGTCTAAGGAATGGTTCATTCCCTGGTGCTCCTGGGGTGGGTTTGGGCTCTGTGCAATGTGGAGGTTTGGGATTGGGCTGGAGCAAATTTGGCTGTTAAGGCAGGGCTGGACAGGGTGTCTGATGAGCTTTGCTCTACCAAGTTAACTCAGAGCCCATTTCACCCCCAGGCAGCACAACCTTGCTCAGTCTGGGAACCAAACAGTGAACACTGAAGGGAAATAAAGAATTTAAAATGCCCATTTGAAGGCTAAGGACAAGACTGGAGCATACTTTGAGTCTGAGGCAACACTGATGCCAGTCCTTTTGGTGCCCTTCAGCTCTAGGGGTTTAGGAATGATGCTCTGGATAAAGGAGTGACAGAGTTTCCTTGAGGCAGTTTTGCTTGTTTGCTTTTCCTTTCAGTTGTCCAGGGCTGTTTTATCACCCAAACTTGAGGTTAATCGGGCTGGTGCTCTGAAATGTGGTTTACTTCAACCAGCAGCAGTGGGAGTCTCTGTGTGACCAGGGAGCAAAGCCTGGGTCTGTTTGTTGGTTTCCTTAGGCCTGAATTGTGTTTTCTTCCCAGCCAAGACCAAGCATCATCTTCAGCAAAGCTCTTCTGCCACCTCCTGGAGATCTGGGCTGTGAAGGCCTCGGGTCTCCATGTGGATCTGTGAGAGCTCTTTAATTGTGCTGCACAACCCCCCCAATGTGCAGCAAATCCAGGGGATTTGACTACAGATGGCTGGACTGAAGATACAAGTTGATCTCACTGGAGTCTTTACGTGGTAAACTTTGCAGCAGCAAAGGTGAAAGGTTACCCAGTATAAAAAAACCCTTTTGCAAGGGCAAAGGTACCTCAGTGACCATTGATGGGAAAACTCTGAGCTGCACAGGCTGTCCTGTGGAGTGTCTTGGCTTGGGTGGAATCCTTTCCTCTGTGCCTGAGAGCCAAAGAACCTGAGAGGAGCCACAGCCCCAGCACTCAAACTGCCTGGGGTCCTCACATGAGGGCTGCACTGCAGACACAGCTCAGTGCCTGTCCCTGTCCCTGTCCCTGTCCCTGTCCCTGTCCCTGTCCCTGTCCCTGTGTGCAGCTCCTGGTCCAGATTTTATTGCCTCTCCTGGTGCGTTGTGGTGCTGGGCTTGGTAGTCATGGATCCAGCACACTGACTGCAGGAGGGAAATAGCCATCCATTATCATCCCTCCATCATCCACCCATCCATCCATCAATCCATCCACCCATCCATCCATCAATCCATCCATCCATCCATCCATCCATCCATCCATCCATCCATCCATCCATCCATCCATCCATCCATCCATCCACCAATCACACTTCCACAAGGGCCTGCAGGGACAGGACAATGGGGAATGGCTTCCACTGCCAGAGGACACGGAGAGATGGGATATTGGGAAGGAATTCCTGGCTGTGAGGGTGGGTAGGCCCTGGCACAGGTTGTCCAGAGAAGCTGTGGCTGTCCCTGGATCCCTGGAAGTGTCCAAGGCCAGGCTAGACGGGGCTTGGAGCAACCTGGGCTGGTGGAAGGTGTCCCTGCCCATGGCAGGGGGTGGCACTGGATGGGCTTTGAGGTCCCTTCCAGCCCAATCCATCCTGGGATTCTATAAAGGGTTTTGCTGATCTGTCTCCATTTCTGGTGTTTATGGACCTTCCCCCACCCCCAGGTCAGACTGGGAGGCTGATTTGCCACAATACAAAATGTCACTTGAAAAAAACCAAAGGCTGAGCTTTAAGGGAAACAACCCTTTTGTCTACCTCAAGATGTACAACGTGTGTGACAAGAAGTGTGGATGTTATTTATATTTCTTATATATTTTCTCTAGAAAGAAAATGGTGCTGTGGGTTTTAAGTTGCATTACAGTCCTGCTTGTACCTTGTCTTTAATTTTATATAATCCTTTTGATTACAATGTGCTGATTTGTGTTGTCCAGTGTTGCACAAGAGTCTGCTCTGTCAGTCAATAAATACCAGTTGTTTTCTAAGAATGTACATTTCTGCCTTAAAGGAACACCCCTGGGAAATACCTCTGACTAACCCCCTCCCTCCATGGGCACAGGGATGTTGTTCCTTTCATTCTGCTTTTCCCACTCCTGGTAAAACCTCCCAGTGCCCTGGGGATGAGCAGTAATTCAGGACACTCAGGGGCCCTGTCCCAATACTCTGCCCTAACCTACCCTTCTGGTTCTACTCTGTTTTTCCCTGATGTCTCCTAAGCTCTGCCCAGATTGTCACCCAGACTGTGTCTGATTGTCACCCAGGCCATGCAGAATCTGCTCCCCAGGAGAGCTCAGCCAAGCAGTGCCTCTGTGGATGGGCTGCTCCAGGCACTGCCCTGGGGGTTGGCTGAGGCAAAGAGGAGCAGATCCAGCACTGGTTGGGAATATCTGCCTGTCACAGGGCATGGGGGGCTCCAGGAATGTCCTGTTTCCACCCTCTCCCCCCTCAAAACACCACTACTGAAATGGGATAACTGGATAAACCCTGGAGGTCCAAGGAGAGCCCCACAGACTCCATGGATTGGCTTCTTCAGCTGCTGCTTCGATGGGCATCAAGTGGCCTCCTAGGGACAT